ATTAAGTTTTATTTTGAGACAGCATCACTGAGATGCCCATGCTGGCCTCAAATTTGTGAACCTCCTGCCTGAGCCTCCTGAGGAGTTAGTATTAGAGGCATGGGTGATCATGCCCAGTAGGGTTCCCCTTTTCTTTTGGGCCTTTCTCATGAGTTAGCACAAAGTATTTCACTCTGATTTAAGATTTAAGCATTTAAGTGTTTCTTATCTTCCATAGTTTGATTGGTGGCTCTGACTACAAACTGATTTACCGGCACTATGCTACTCTATACTTTGTATTTTGTGTGGATTCATCAGAGAGTGAACTTGGGATCTTGGACCTCATCCAGGTATGTGTGGGAAGCTAAGGAGGGCAGCAACTCTAGAGAGTTTCCTGGGGCTTTTGAGTAAGCACCTGGAAGTTTCTCTTAACCAGTCTCATTATAGTGTAAAAGTTACCAGTTGTCCACTAGGTGGTGCTCTGGGAAAGCACTTGATCCATCCTCAGAGACGCAGCGTTCAGGGATTTATTGGTTTCTGCCCCTTGGGCAGCCTTTAGTTTTCATGTTTTTGAATTTTCTTTCAGTCATTAAACCAAATGCTATTTAAACATTTATATTTTGGGCTTATAGTTATAGCTCACCACAAAGAAATGTGATACTTTAGTCTGTGCAATCTGGACATAACCATGATATTTTTCTTTTTTTAATATATTTGCTACAGGGTCTCACTACACATCTCGGATTTGTAGTGATCCTTCTGTTTTCAGCCTCCCCAGTGCTGGGATTATAGGCATGTGCCACCAGGCTGGGTGTCAGTGGCCAGCTCAGTGCCCTTGGGGGCAGGGCTGTCAGGGCATGTGGTGCCAGGGATCGAACCCAGTCCCTGCACTTGCCTAAGCAGGTGCTTGGTCTACTGAGCTATCTCACTAGCCCCATAACCATGATTTTTGGAAGAGTGTTTTTGTTTTTTGTCTTTTTGAGATAAGATCTCACTATGCAGTTCAGGCTGACCTTGACCTCACTTTGTAGCCCAGGCTATCTCAAACTCCCAATGACCTCTCCTTCAGCCTCCCAAGTGCTGGGATTGCAGGCATACCCCACCACGCCTGGCTGAAAGATTTTGTGACAATGAGAACTTGCTAAGAGCTTATATGCTCTTTCACAGAAACTGAGATGCAGGGTGGTGCTAGAGCGCAGCACATGCAAGGCCCCTGGTTCAGTCCCCAGCACTGAGAGAGAGGGAGAGAACTTTGTAACTTAGTGGACATTTATTAAATATTTGATGTGCATTAGATTTGAGAAGTTCACATATATAAAAATAATAGAAAGTAAGAGGTTTAGTCTTTGGAAAGAAAACAAAAATCAATAATTGGCTTAATCTCTATGAAGAAGATAAAAATTAGAAACTTGGTCTCTATTTGACCTCACTATACACTCTCATCTTCATTTACACTGTAGCCCTCACACTGTTCTTCAAAGTCAAATACATATTCACCTCATTATCTTTGTATTTGTTCTGTCTAAGTATTTTCCAGTCCAATAGATAGAAAAAGTATAAGTCAGGGGGCCGGGGAGATAGCTCAGTAGGATAAGCGCTTGAATGGCAAATGCAAGGATCTGAGTTCAATCCCTGGTTCTGCAAAAAAAAAAAAAGAAAGAAAGAAAATTATAAGTCAGGCATAGATAGTATAGTGGCACAGATACCCAGGAATACATGAAAAATATCTGTAAGATTCTGGTGGGTGGGCCATAATTCTGTCATCTTTCTGTAGGTGGACCACCCTTTTCCCAGGACCTGTGACAGAACTCCTGTGGGTTCACAAATTGAGTCTTAGGCTGGGGCATGGTGGTACACGCCTATAATCCCAGCGCTCCATGAGGCAGATGTAAGAGTATTGTGAGTTCATAACCCAGCCTGAACTACATAAAGAGACCCTGTCTCAAAAAGACAAACAAGGGCTGGTGAGATGGCTCAGTGGTCTAAAGCACCTACTTGGAACAAGCTCGGCAAAGCGCAGGGACCGTGGTTCGATCCCCAGCACCACATGCCAGCCAGTCCTGCCCCCAGGCGGGCTGAGCTGGCCACACACACACACACACACACACACAGTAATAATAAATAAATGTAAAAAAAAAAAAAAAAAAAGACGAACAACCCAACAAATTCACAAGCTTCTGCCAGAAACATAAATATTCATAACTTCAAATAGCAGTATTTTTCTCTGTTGAGGGCCTTCACTCTGTTTGTGTGAATATATACTATTAAATTCCTGCCAAATAAAACTCTTTCCATGATTCTTTTAGAAAAACATCTGTATGAGCTATATCTAGATTTAAAATCCAGCAAAAATTACAACAAAATAGGGCAGGGGAGATAGCTTAGTGGTCTAAGTACCTGCCTGGCAAGTGCGAGGATCCAGGTTCAGTCCTGGGTACCACATGCCATGTGGGCCCCACACTGAACCCAAGCCCACCACCAAAACTGGGCAGGTGTGGTGGTGCATGCCTGTAGTCCTCTGGGGAGGCCAAGACAGGAGGATCAGTACGGGTCGAGCTGCATAGTGAGACCCTGTACCAAATGAATAAGATTTTTTTTTTAATGCAAAATAAATTAACATAGTCTTTTTCTCTAGAAAAAACCCATTAAAATGTCAGTGTTGCATGATAGTGAAAACCTAATCAGAATCTTTGTAAAATTTGTTATTTAATTTTTTTTTTTTTTGTGAGATGCACGTATAGGTAATACAGCCAGGGAGATGGCTCAGTGGAATAAGCACTTCCCTGGCAAGCCGGAGTTCAATCCCTGGTTCTGCCAAAAAAGAAAAAAAGAAATACATGAAGCACACTGTGTCATTTGAAGAATGCCAGTAAAATGAACACCCATTACCCATCACCTTGAACATGCCTCATACCTTAGAAACTGCCCAGACAGCCCTGCACACTCACTGTCCTTCGCTGTGCCCTCTTAGTCTGGGGTGGTCATTCCTTTGCTTCTATGGCTTTATGAGGTGATGAGCATCCATAAGTGATCTTCTGTGTGGTGTGGAAAAACTTAATGTTGAGCACAAACTTAGCTCTAGAAGGAAAGGATGGTTTTTGTTACCTATATGTTACACAGTCCTGCTTTATTTTAAATTTTATCTAAATTGGGCTGGTGAGAGGGCTCAGTGGTCTAAAGCACCTACTTGGAACAAGCTTAGCAAAGCACAGGGACCGCGGTTCAATCCCCCAGCACCACATGCCAGCCAGCCCCGCCCCCTGGTGGGCTGAGCTGGCCACACACACACACATATATAAATAAAATTTTAAAAAAATAAAATAAAATAAAATAAATTTTATCTAAATTAAGATACACCTTTTATCATACTTTTTTTTGCGGAACCAGGGATTGAACTCAGACCCTTGCACTTGTCAGGGAAGCGCTTACTCCACTGAGCCATCTCCCTGGCCCTATCATACTTTAATAGCTCAAAATCAGGATGTGATTAAAATGTGATACTTTATGATGATAATTGACAGCATTTCTTCTCTATTAGCACATAAAATAGTGGTTTGCCTTATAATAAGTAAAAAAATAATTATTTGTGTTTTTTTTTTTTTTTTTTGGTAGAACTGGGAATTAAGCCCCTGTGCTTGCCAGGCAAGTGCTTATTCCACTGAGCCATCTCCCCGGCCCTTATTTGTATATTTTGAATATAGCACTAGGTTGGTTAGAAGTGCTCAGTGTTAGGGTATGCCTAGTATGACTGCGTTCAATCCTTAGCACAGGAGAAAAGAACTCATTGTTTTCTAAGCTATCACAGTAAATACAAATGCCTCCCCTTATTGAAGAAACTTAATGTGTAATTAATTAACTTTCAAGTGCAATCTAAAGTCCTTATCAAAGCCAGCAAGGCCTGACATGGAGTGGCTCCTTGGTCTCTATTTGACCTCACTGTATACTCTCATCTTCATTTACACTGTAACCCTCACACTGGTCTTCAAAGTCAAATACATATTCACCTCAGTATCTTTGTATTTGTTCTGTCCAAATATTTTCCAGTCCAATAGATAGAAAAAGTCAGGCAGGTATAGTGGCACGGGCTGATAAGTCTGTGACCAGAAGATGGCAAGTTTAGTCTCTCTGTGTCCCAAAAATATTTTAAAAGGGATAGGGACTGGGGATGTAAAGGACCTGGGTTCTATCCCGAGTGCCACACCAAAAAAAGGAAGAAGGAAAGAAAAATGAAAAGGAAAAGACAATGAAAAGAAAAAAGCAAATTCTTGGGGGCTGGGGAGATAGCTCAGTAGAATAAGCGCTTGTCTGGCAAGCACAAGGGCCTGAGTTCAATCCCTGGTTCCAGCCAAGAAAAAAAAAAGCAAATTCTTTTTTTAAGTGGAGAACTTCCTTTGAACACCAATGAGGCTGCCTATCTCTGTGTTTACTGGGCACTGGTATTTGAAAAGGTCTGACCACAGCATTAGTCCACTTGCTTATTGCTCATTTTTATTCATTTGTATATATTATGTTTTCCTCTTATAGATCTAAGACCTTTGTTTTATTTATTTACTTTTGATATTTAGTATAGGGTCTATAGGGTCTCACTACGTAGATCACACTCATAGTGATTACCCTGTTTTCAGCCTCCCAAGTGCTGGGATTACAGGTGCATGCCACTATGCCTATTTCAGTTGCTGGCTTAGAGCGCCCTGGGGACAGAGCCCGCACAGTGCTCTGGGGATCAAACCCTGACCGCTGTGCTCTGCCTAAGCAGGCTTGTTATATTTATTGAAAATACTTTTTGCTTACCCATTGGTCATGAACTTCATGTATTTAAATCTTGCAGTCCTTTTTCTTATATCTTCCAGGGTATGAAAGTATTCTCCAAGCCCACTGTGTTGGCTCACACCTGTAACTCCAGCAGTCTGGGAGGCTGAAGCAGAAAGATCACAAGCCCACCCATAACTTAGTAACTTAGACTGTCTGAAAATATAAAAAGAACGGGGGATGTGGCTCGATATGAAGGCCCTGGGTTCAATTGCC